AATCTTATTGGAATAATAAAGGGTAAGTTACCCTTGCATTTTGTTGTTTCTTGTCGCACGAACTTAACCGATTATTCGCTAACTAGTTCTTAAAATTACTCACTTTTGAGTGCAATTACACAGAGGTAAAACTTACCAATAAAGATTGGAGCCACCAGTGAGGAATTTAATATTAAAAGCCAAAAATCCAATTCTAGTATTCCATTAAAGTTACCTGGTTTACAAAAAATTCGAAGTGTGCATTTTTATGTTGTAAATGAAAAACTATAAGGAAGTTTTACTTGTATTCAGATTATTTTTATGTAAAATTCATTCTTAAATTCTGGTTTCTATTATATATTTTTAAATATATGTTTGAAGTTTGCACGACATCTGTATATAACTATTCTGTACGTAATTTTATTATTTAAAGTAAAATAAATATGTCAAAAAGGAAATCATCAGTTCCGTAAATGTATCGAACTCAAATCAAGCAAATTGGAAGATTTGCTGGAACTGTTGACAATGTTTTAACATAAAAAAATTTAGAGAAAATTCTTACATTAAAATCAAATCTGTAAAGATGTCGTGACAAGCTTGAGGAATATTATTATGGATGTTCTATTCTTAAAGATTTGAATGAAGAATCTGAGTTTAAAAATTTGTTTGAGGCTCAGGATTTGGCAGACGAATCATTAGTTAAAATAGAAGCATATCTACATTCATTTTAATAAAGAATCACAGCTCAATGATGATAAGACGGTAAAAATCTGCCACATCCTATGTGAATATAAAGCTTCCGAAGTATGATCTTCCAACGTTTTCTGGACAGTTTGAATCCTGGCTGAGTTTTAAATCCATATTTTTAAGTTCTCTTGATTCTAATGTATCTTTAACTGAAATTAAAAAATTGGTCAAAGTGCAGTTTCGTCTAATGCTGCACTAATTCGTCTAATGACTTATTAAGGGATTCGCAATAACCGCTGAAAATTATAAAAATGCTTGAGACACTTTACTCGACAGATATGGTAACCAAAGGGAATTAGGATTTTCTCAGTGTAGAAAATTATTTAATTTAAAACTTGTAGAACCAACATTTGATTCCATTCGAACAAAGATCTGTAATACCTTCAATGAAATTATTAGGAATTTTAAAACACTTGGTCTAGAATGCAATCAGTTAGACAAAATTCTTCTAATATTTGCGTTACAAGATAAGCTAAAAGATTCACTTCAAATCAAGTGGGAATTAACGCTAGAGAATAAAACATTTCCATCTGTAAAACATTTTCTTTCATTTTTGGAAAACCAAGCTTGAGAGCGTTAAGGGAAATTATAATATTCAAGACAAATCAGTAAAATCCATTAACAAAACTTTTGCTCTTAAAACAAATGTAAAGTTAAGGCAGGATTCTTGTGCACTTTGCCAATTACCACATCTTTTACATAAGTGCTAGAAATTTCTTAAAATGTATATTAATGACCGTTAGAACTTCATACGAAAAGAAAACCTGTGTTTTAACTGAGACCAAATCATGGTGTATTTTCATGCCGATTGACTACATCTTGCAGGGTATGTAAACAGAAACATAACACAATTCTTCATTTTTTTTGGAACTGACAAAAAACATTCTGTTTAAAGTCAAGTACAGTCTACCCCAAAACGTCTATCCCAAACTTAGTTTTTATATCAACCTTTGTCTAGTACCTCGGAAGAGCAGTAGTTTTGCTTCACAGGAAATGTAAAAAGTTCTTAATTTAATTTTACTTGCCACAGCTGTTATAAAAGTAAAATATCTGATGTGTCCACCACATGACTTCCAAGTACGGAATATTAAATTATTAGCATTTTTTTCTTCAATTTCATTTAAATTGATTGGATTGAATTAAATCTACTTCGTCGACGCGCATAAACCGCAATAGAATAAGTGCACTCTTTAAAATTCACTATATTTGGTTACTATAACAACATTCTGAATGCACAAAATTTATATCATTTGAAGAATTATCGTTGCCACATGTTCTATTCAAATACTATAATAAAGCTAAAACGATGTATGAAAAAAAATTAAACAAACAAAACAGAAAAGAAACAGTTTTTCACAGACAATTTAGTATTTCTCATTCAATTAATTCAGCTCTCACTTCGCGACAAGGCAGAAATACATAAAAACTCAAAATATCTGCATTAAAAATTACGAAGTAAATCTTAAACACTTATTTCCTCGAAAAAATTCCAGAAAGGATTAAGCATGATTTAATTCGCAATAATAAATGAAGGCGTTATGTTTGTGTTGCGAAGCTTAGTATCTCTAGATTGGCAACAAATCTACAATTCTGCTGTTCCAAATGTAAACAAATATGTCCGCCATGTTATATAAAATTTAACCGCACTTAAACAGCTTTTATTGTTGATAATTGTACAAATATTGCTTCCAGAATTACGAAAGGCATAAAAACCTTAACCGGAAGATAAAAAGAACATAATTCAATCATTTTTAAAGCAAAAAATGTACAATTTACAAACACATAAGAGTAAAGAAACTGAGATCACTGAGCCAGGTAACAGAGTGGATATATATATAAATATATTTATATACGTTTGGTGCGGCCGATTGCAACCAAAATACGAGGTGCACATCTACATGTTATAGCAGTACTATACACAAAATTTCAACGTCCTGAGGCTACTCGTTTTGGAGTTATGCGAGATACGTACGTAAGTACGTACACACGTACGTACATACGTTAGTACAGACGCCACAAAAAATTCTCTTCAGAATTAATTTTAAAGCAGTTTTATAATTTTTTGGAGGAAAAGAGTCTTTTATTCTGTCCTTACGTACAGATATCACGCAAAATCATCGTTAAATTGCATTCGATAGAGGTCAAAATGGATATTTTCGTTGAAATGCCTGAAACTTTTCGCAATTACAATACTTCCTTTTTAGTTCGTACAAGGAAGTAAAAATAATCAAGGACAGTTTATCGAATGCCGTTCTCTAATTGATAATGGTTCTCAAGCATCTTTAATCATTTGTAATCGACTAAAACTTTCATTTCAAAAGTCTGAACACACTATCCTATGACTTGATGATACAGTTGCCGCACATGTTACGAAAATATCTAAGTTAAATTTTACTCTCCATTTTAATAACGATAACTTTTCTATTAAGGCTTTAGTAGTGAAAGGGCTGATGTCAAATTTACCAAACTTTGACCTGTCAGAATTCAGTTGGCCTCATCTGAAAGGATTGCAGTTAGCAGATCCTTCTTTCCATATAAGTAGACGGATTGATATCATTCTCTCCGGATATATTCTTAGATTTAATTCAAACTGGAAAGATTGTAGGAAATCAAAACCAACCATCCACTCTAAGCTCAAAATTGGATTGGCTGATTTCAGGAAGGGTGTTCGTTTCAAAAAGAATTCAGAATTCTTTTATCAACTGTCATGCTTTAGTAGACATTGAAAATTTAATGAAAAACTTCTGGGAAGTCGAAGTCGAATCCGTTCCAGAAGTGAATACACTAAATGATGAAGAGCAAGATGTCGGGCATTTTATTTAAATCACACTAGTCGAAAATATCTATTAAATTATTTCTAAATTTAACTGGTGTTAGTGAATCTCATTATTTTTCCTGCAGAAAAATTTATTTTAGTTTTACAACTGAAACATATTATTCAGATTTTCCCCTTTTTCTCAAAACTTATCGTCTCTCCCTCCCAAATAAATAAAGTTTTTCCCAGTTTTGCCAATTTTTTCCCTTCTATGCGAAACAATTCTTTGATTTTTTCTAACTTATTTCTTCGGCTATATGTAAATCTCTGGAATAATTGGGCTGCTTGGCCCAAAATGGATATGCCAGTAATGCATATAACATTTAATAGTTGTTAGCGTTCAAAATATTAACTATTGCTACCACACCTCAAAACAAATTCTTCGTTTTAAGCCAAAAGCTATATATTAGAAGAAGAATATGAATATATAGCTTTTAATGCGAACATCAACGTCTAAGTGATGAATACCAGTGCATTTGTACGTAGTTTGATACACGGATAAGGGTTGCAAAAAGTAAAATTAAGACGTTCATCTGATTTTTTTAATTGATTAAAAAGAGGGAAATCATGTTCTCGTGTGCTCATATTTTCAGAAAAGTACGCCATGAACTGCGGTTGTTAGTGATACTTTGACTGTTTTCCTGCAAGAAATTTAAAATTATAAAAATTCGCTTACTAAATTTTGCACAGAAGACTGCTGAAAATACCAATTTCGAACCGGATTCTAAACATAGAGAACGGTTCGATGTATGAAATTTTTCATTGTTTTCTTCACGTATGACGTGATATCTCCTATAATTTCCTTTAGAAATCTCTGAATTTTAACCCTTTATTCTAGTATACTTTCTGTCAACAAAAAAAATAATTAAAGAATTTTTTTTTACAATGCGTGTCTGAATGTTATTTGTTAGCATATTTATAACTTACTGTCAAGCAATATGAGCTGAAAATGAAGTATCATAGTAATTGCATACTTGGATTCTTATTCCACCTACCTCTTTCCCTTCTTTTCTTTCCTGGCTCATATTTTGTCTGCATGACGCTACGAAAAGCAATTCCAAAAGATACATTTTGGAACAGTCCTTGAGATTATACTTAACAACATGCCTATTTTCCAGTTCACGATACTTACTATGAAAATGTATTCATTTTTGCTACGAAGCAAAAATATTTGTCAGTGATAAGTATGGCTTCAAAATCTTCCACAAAATTTTAATTGAATATCATTTTAAGCTGAATAATTCAATTCTTAAAATTATGTTTTAATATGATGAACGTTCTTCTCAGTTTGGTCCAGGTCCCAAATGTCACCTATTTCTAAAATTATCGAGCAGAAACAGTACGTCTGCAAAGCTGGTGATTATCTGAATTCTGTGAATAATCTGTGCTCCAAGTATTTATCTGACAACAAAATGTATGCAAATAACTTAATAATTTTTGCTTCTTTCATTTTCGACAGAAATCCAGTGAGGTTTATGGCTTCTCAACTACCAGATTACTCTATCCGACCGATGGAAAAAGAAGAAATTCCTGAAGTCCTGGATATTTGGAGAGAAACGAAACTATCTGAGGGCACGCATTCTTTGGACACATGGTTCAGTTACGATCCTGAAGGATTTTACGTAGCTGTCACTAATGACGGTAAGTTGGAAGTACTTGAAATGCATTACACGCATTTCTACTGCAGACATTCTGTTACAGAAATGTGTCATGCTTATGCATAAAGGCTGTGGCATCCACTGAAGCCATTAAATTCTTGTAAAATTCAAAAGGTCTGCAATTTTTCACGTTATATAAAATTGCATAGAAATTGTAATATCCATTGAAAGACCATTTCTTACACAGTTCAGAAATTTGAGGTCTCAAGATAAATTTGCACTGTTTATTTCAAGTAACACGCGATTTCTTGTATTGAAATTTTCCTGTACTTCTACACTTTTATTTACTCGCCAGAAAAAGCAGCTTAAGTGTGTTTAATCCGTTAAATTCATTAACAGAGAGCTTCGGTAATTTAAGCCCACAGCTCTGTTATTCTGATTCAACCTGCTAGAGTCCTGCGCTGATTATCGATGAGTCAGGTTTCATTTTTGTACGTGACGAGAATGCGCGTTAGAATGCTTACATCTGTTTCAAGTTTTAAAATTTCTTTGAAAAAATATTTCTTGTTTCTTGTTCTTTGTTGTGTTCTTCAAGTACAATTTTAATTTAAACTTACAGGCACGTCGGGAAAAGAGACGAAGCTATTGACACATAGCTAGAATAAGATAATTTAAATTAATAATTTTATTAATGAATTACCGCTTTCAGTCTCAATTGCTTCGTTTGACGAAACGTGCCTATGATATTAGCTAAATTGGATATTTCTTACACCTTTCCCTTGATAAGTCTATATTAAAGCTCGAATTGAGCTAATTAACCATTTGATGCAATATTTGTATATAATTTCTTTGTCTTTAAAATGTTTTTGATTGTTTGCGAACAAAATATGATGATGTTTTTTAGGTTTTTAAAAAAATTTTAGTTTTTTCAAATTTCCTATTTGTTTTTGTAATTTATGTAATTTAGTAATAATTACAGTAGGTTATTTTGCGTAAAATGTAACTGCTTTAGTATTGTATAATTGTTTATACTTGGTGTTACTTGTTTACTTTGGAACTGCAGTATCAAATGAACTTTAAAGCATTAACGATTTTTAACTTTCCTCTTCTTTGCAAATATATATATGTGTGTGTGTAAGATAAAAAATATATAAATAAAAATAATAATTTAAGTTAGCGATAACCATTTAATTCGCCCTCTTTATTCTAAAATTAGTAATGCCTTTTTCTGGACTGCGTCATTTCTAGATCAGTCTATCTCATATGACTTGCGTAACGCTGATGATATAGCTAATTCGGAACTTCAACTCAAAATTTCGAGACCTGAAACTTTATTTAATAAGGAACTTAAACCGAAACCTTCACTTAATAGGCTGTGATACTGCGCACTTTTGCTTCAGCTCTCTTACCGGTGAGACGCTATTTCGTTCGCTTACAATTTTCCAGCAATTGTCCATTGTTTCAAAAATATAATCTGTCTAAAATTGTGGGATGCATATCGCACCTACAGTGATAATGTGATATGAAAAAGAATATGTATACTCAGAATTAACTATCCAGGAATAAAATTATGTGTGAAATTTAAGGCGATGTGTGTTTTCGAGTGCCATCTTTCTAACGACTCACTAAAGTCTCTCCAAGTTATTATAAATCAGAGAAACATAACCAATCCGTTGCAGCTTTCTCCAAGTTATCCTATTACACACACGTGTATATATTATAAGAAAAGTTGTAAGAACAATACTAAAAAGACCAATTTTGGTCGAAATTGTTTTGCGCATTGTGCTGCAAAATTAAGGAAATGAGAAGATAAATTTTAGTAAGCTCGCCAAAAAGTTACCAAAAGCTAAGATTGTATCACCAACTTTAATGCAACTTTTGCTGTAATAATAAACTATTAAATCATTGGTTTCCCATTTAGAAAACTTTCGTTTCTTATCGTAACTTTATCTTCAACAAATATCATTCTGTCTAGTGAGCGTCTGTAGAGATTTGATATGATAAACACCAGAATTCGTAAACTGCAGACCAAACATCACGGACGAAACGTTGAGGAAAAAGCAACTCAAGGGAGAAACGTCGTAGTGAAAACATCATGGGAGAAAAGAAGTCAGGGAGAAAATATGCCAATTATGAATCATCGTGATAAAAAAAATGCACCTACAGACCATCGCATGATGATAACATCGCAAACATTCATTTTCTGATGGAAAAAATTTCCATGCTATGTGTTGTATTTTAATCAAGCTCTGAAAAGCCATATATAATTTCTAAAACATTTTCATTTGCAGAATTTTAGATTAAAACTTTTATTATTTGTTTTGTTTGTTTAATCATTGAACTAAACTCAGCGGCACAACATCCCTGATGGATCACGGCCAGCAGTTCCGTGAAATCTGCTTTCTTGGTCTTGGGCCCTGTGGTGCATCAGCATATACCCTGGGCAAGTGGTCAGCTTGTCGCACGACCCCCGGTGTTTCGTCCCCTACCAAACTTGGTACTCATTTTATCAACCCATTCAAGGGATAAAGGCTGAATCAACGTCAATCTTTCCCAGCCCGGGGTTCCAATCCCGGACCTGTGATGTAGCTGCCTGACGTCCTAGCCACTTTTCTACCGGGTGTTCTTGTTTAACCATTAATTAGGCTTAAAATTTAACCAAAATTTTCCTATTATGCTCAAGAAAAACATTTGAAATGTTTTTCTGATTAATCGCGGAACTTACGGTACATTAAAAACTAATGACAAAGTTTTAAGAATATAAAGATTGCTTAATTTTATAGTGTTAACACTTAGTCGCAGTAAATAAACTTCTTTGAAGCTAGTGCTCTCATTTTTGCTCTGCAGCTCTTCATTTGAATTTATATGAAATTTATACAATATGTAAGCATGAAGGCATAGTTTTAGTATATCATAAAGACTGCAAATTTTGCTCTATTAACTCTCATAGTTAATTATTAAACTTCTTCTCTTCCTTCCATCACAGCTATTCAGTTTAATTTAGAGAAATTCTCTAAGCCAAAGACTTTCATAAACGCCGAAATGAAATCGATAAACATTTCAATGCTTGTCAGACACTAACGAGAGTTTATGTTGAGAACATGGCAAGAATTTTCGATTCGCGGAAATAAATGCTGCGAAATTATTGATCGGCACGAATTAATTTCCGGAGACCACATCCAATGAATAGCTTGAATAGTGTCCCTCGAAGAAAGTGACATTAAGGCGTCGGTTTTTCTTATTATATGGCTGTTGGAGACAAATTATTTTGCAAATGAGATTTTGATCTTGCGCCATTCAAATAACGGCAGTCTGCGAGCATAATTGCTTAAAGAGAGGAAAGCTAGTAAATAAAAGTCTTGTAAATTGTAGCGAATAGTTTTAACATGCAAAACGTAAAAGTATTTTTCGCCCCTAATCTCTTTACTTTCGATTTATTAAAAAGGACTAAGTTTTTAAAAATACTTATTAAGAAAGATTTTAAAAAATATTGGCCAAATTACTTACATTGAATGCTATCAAAAATTTCGATTGGTAGTAGAGCTCAACTAAGATCTTCCTCATCCTGCCAATCGTTTGCCAATTCAAACTATCATTTATGACAATTTTGTTGATGATACTTTCCCTGTTGTTTGTTATACAGATGGCAGTAAAATTAATAATCGAGTTGGATTAGCTTATGTCGTTTTCCATCATGGTTCTGAACTGGAAAACAAACTCTTTAGAATTCCCAATGAATGCAGTGTTTTCCAAGCCGAATTACTGTGCATTAGTGAGTCAATTAAGTGGATATCTAACAACTGTTCGCTAAGTGCTAAATTTCTTATTCGCACTGATTCTCTTTCATCCTTATATTCTCATAGGAATATCTTCTCATATAATAAATTAATTGTCACTTCCCATGCTCTTCTTAAAGACCTTAATAATAAAGGTGTTGATGTTATCTTTTCTCATATACTTGGCCACACTGGCAATCTAGGAAATGAAAGGGCTGATTGGTTGGCAAAAGAAGCTACACATCTTCAAGTAATTACTACTCCAATGATACTTCCCAAGGTCATTTTACAAGAACAAAAAAAATAGGGATGATACAATACTCAATTGGAATGAACTTATACAGGAATTCTACTACTGCCTCTTTGACTAAACTATATTTTCCTTCCATTCCTCACAGACTGAATAATAAACACATTTTCTGCAAATTTGAAGTTACTCAATTTCTAACTGGACATGGTAAATTCAATTCATATCTGAAGAGATTTAGATTATCTGGTACAGACTTGTGTTCATGCAGTTTTGGGGGAGTGCAAAATGTCGAACATTTGTTGTTCTATTGTTTTCCGTCATGGTTCTGAACTGGAAAACAAACTCTTTAGAATTCCCAATGAATGCAGTGTTTTTCAAGCCGAATTACTGTACATTAGCGAGTCAGTTAAGTGCATATCTAACAACTGTTCGCTAAGTGCTAAATTTCTTATTCGCACTGATTCTCTTTCATCCTTATATTCTCTTAGGAATACCTTAATAATAAAGGTGTTGATGTTATCTTTTCTCATATACGTGGCCACACTGGCAATCTAGGAAATGAAAGGGCTGATTGGTTGGCAAAAGAAGCTACACATCTTCAAGTAATTACTCCAATGATACTTCCCAAGTCATTTTACAAGAACAAAAGTAGGGATGATACAATACTCCATTGGAATGAACTATACAGGAATTCTACTATTGCCTCTTTGACTAAACTATATTTTCCTTCCATTCCTCACAGACTGAATAATAAACACTTTTTCTGCAATTTTGAAGTTACTCAATTTCTAACTGGACATGGTAAATTCAATTCATATCTGAAGAGATTTAGATTATCTGGATTATCTGGTACAGATTTGTGTTCATGCAGTTTCAGGGGAGTGAACTGAACTGAACTGTTTAGCACATTTACGAAGTTGTATAGGTGGCGTCAGTAGTCAAAAACGCCAGCGCCACCTACATATTTCATTAAAATCAATCTTTCTTTTCAAACATGCATTTCACAAGGTGTTTCCA